ATCAAAATACTGATAAAATCCGTTTCCAGCTTGATTGTATTTGCATTGTTGCAGACAAAGTTGTACAATTATGGTGGGCTTATGTGTCACATACTCGTTTGTAATTCCACGTGCCTGCATGTACTTTGATGCCTCAAGAGATGCTTCGAATGTGTAATATAGGGCTGTTCGCAGGAGTTGGGCTGTCTGCTCTTAAATTGCATTGTTTTTATGATATTTTAAGATTGTATTCAAATGGCTGGACCATCTTGCCATTGCCACAATGTCTGATGTTCAAAGAAGCTTTAAAATCAGGTTACAATGCATGCTTGAAAATATGCAACAATTTCACTGATAATAATATTCCAGAAAATCCTGCCTCTTGGGCAGATCTGGACTGATTTGTCAGAGGGGATTGGAGGTTTTCTACATGTGATCGGGCAAGGGGAGCTAGCCAAAGGTGCTGGGTCAGAGTCAAACTCAATGAACAGCTCCTAAGTCCTAATTGCATTGATAAATTATGTACACTTTGGGATGGTAATGCAATTTGTAAAATATTCCACATTTTATTTAATAAAATTTAATTATATACATTGTTTTGTTGTTTATATTAACATCTTGGACAGTGAATATTTACACCTTTGGACTCTGTAAATAAACACCTTTGGAGGGTGTACCCATTCTAAGCCAAAGACGTTTAAGAACAATTATCAAGGTATTTGCATGATAAAATATATTTAAAACTGCTCTCAATATACATGTAATGCATGGATCAATTCTTGCTTTTACCAAGTAAACCCAGGGATTTTCAATGCCCCCCTCCTCCCGTAGAATTCACTTGAAGTGACTGGGGCAAGGTAGCTGTAAGTATAAGTAGATATATAAAAGTCAATTAAAATTTACAAATAGAGCTTTTTGAATATAGACCACTGCAAAATCTTTTTTAATTTGTTTAACCCTTTATAGTGGCAATGTGCCCCACTTTAGTATATTACTCCGTCTGGTGCCAGGCAATTTTACTCAAGGGCAGAATGTAGACTTGCCACAAGTCGACCTCGAACGAAACGTCGGCCCACACGCGCTGCCTGTGTTTCGTTCGAGGTCGACTTATGGCAAGTCTAGGCAGAATGTTGCCACTCAATGAGCTAATATATTCTCAGAACAATTACCATCAAATTAAATCTATTTTGCTGGCAAAATTGCCTTGGAGGAGGAGTGTTGTAAAAAACAGAATAGCAACCGGTTTCAGAATAGGAAGAATTGTTGTAATATAGGTAAATAATTCTAAGACAAATCATCCAAAGGAAGCAATCATTCTAGCTCTTATAGTGTATGTTGCAACAGGGATGGATTTACTGGGGGGGAGTGCCCCCCCCCCCTAGCCCTGGCCAGAGGGAGTGCAGAGGGTGCTATTTTTCATGATAAAGCAAAAAATTATTACAGGCAAAATGAGATACAGTAATTTGAGTAATAACATGATGATAAGCGAGCTGTGAACAACAATTACAATTCAAATACAGTAGTAAAGCAAGACTTTGCAGTAGTGAAGCAAGTTGATGGGCGGGCGGCACACATGACTGACACAACTCGGCACCAGAGCTGGCAGAACACCCTCCCCCCCTCCTACCAGATCATGCTGGATCCATCCCTGTATTGCAAAATGTATTTTCTTCATAGTCAAGCATTCACATGAATGAAGATTAGAATTGCATCATGTTATATAGTCTTAAATATTTAGGAGGGGTCTCCATTATTATATTAAGAGATTAAAAAGGGTCCCATGACATTTTGACATAAGAATCTCCCACCCCACCCTAGGGTATAATGAATGGTCACTTAAAGTACATGCCATCTTCTAACTGGTTGGGCACCTTGCCCCTTTTGTGATGGAAAATCTATTCCCTACCTTTATCCCCTGGGACAAAAAATTCAAATCAACTCTCCACCCTGATAATGTGCAGATGGTAACAGCAAGAATTGAAGCAAGCAAGCTTTACTGGAGTACATACTATTATTAGGAAGCATCAATTCGCACATGCTAATTTGCCAGTCATGATTTTAAACGTAATATTTCTTATCTCGTATAGAATTCTTAAGGTCTTGTTTACATTTTACTGGAAGCAAACTAAGATGCATATCCAATATTTGGGTCATGTCACTCATAGGTCAGTTTTGCAGCTTGCCAGCTTCAACAACATTTGGCTGCAAGGAAAACGTAAACAAGGAAAGAGCATATAACACTTCATCTGTGTTTAAAATATCAATGAATAAATATTCCAACCATTGGCACTTTATAATATAAGTGACATTCAAGAATAAATCAATAACATATACAGTATATGCAAAAACATTTCTTTGAATCACTGTAAAAAATATTCCTCATAAACTCGCTCCAATCGTCGCACAGCAGAGTCTTTGGAAGGGTAAAACCAAGTTTAACATCCCCAGTTCAAAACACTTTCCGTGTCCTCTTAGGCAAGCCTGTCCAGCTGGAGAACATCTGTCGTAATACTATTATATTTTGGCTGTTAATTTTGTTTAGCGAACGAACGATATTTACCAAACCCAGTTGGAAGAACAGCAACTACATAGTTCCCAGGTAATAAAAGCTGAAGTATCTGATTTCGAGTACGTCGGTAGCAAAAAGAAGGAAAAATTTCAAAGACTAAACGCATTTTTAAGCCGCTCTAAACACTTAAATTTTGTGGAAACTCTTAGGTTGGCGGCCATCTTGGATTTTCTAATCATTATTATTATAATTTATTACACCCACTACATCTGGGTGTTGAAAGTCATGTGACCGGCCGGTGCCAGGGCCTTTTCCCGCCTTCCCAATGACAAAAAGGGAAAAGCCCTGGGAACGAGGTTGCACCATTGATTAACCTCCATCAAGAATAATTCGGGCCGATTCTTGTACGCTGTCTTCTGTCTGTGAGAAAGTTGGCAATCCAATTAATAAGGACAGGATGTATGCCCATATTTATCAATTTTTGAAGTAAGATGTTGAAGTCAATCCGGTCAAATGCTTTTGAGAAGTCCAACGTACAGATTCGAAGACAGGTGCCGGGTGTGTCCATAGCTTCGTACCATTTATGTAACATATATAATAATGCCATTGTGGAACTTGATCTTTTAAGCGCACCAAATTGGAGGTTATCAATTTGACCACTAACTGACCGTAAGAGCCTATGAGGGAATGAGTCTAAGATCTTGCTTACAATTGGCGTAAGAGAGATCGGTCTAAAATCGGAATCAATGTCCAGGGCAGGTGACGGATTTTGGCGCAGGAGACACATTGGCGGATTTCCACAACGGGATGTTTCATTCTTGAATAGAAGCATTGGAAATGGATGCCAATGGGCGGGATAGGGAGGCAGAGTTCTCACGGAGGAGCCAAGGAGAAATCTCATCTGGACCTGCCGCCGAATGAGATTTTACAGATATTAGTACTTTCTCAACTTCATCAATGGAGATATAGAAATCTAAAGGAACGTCATCAATGCGATGGGTGTCCATGAGAATGGAGGAAGGGTGCTTCCTACAGCAACAAACTTATCGTTAAACAAGTTAGCTAGGGCGGAGCCTGAGTAGAATTGACCATTGTATAAGATAGTGGAAACGTTTTTCGTTGCACCAAGGCCAGGTATGTTTTTTACGTTGGACCACCACGTATGCGGATTTGATTCAAAGCAATTGGCGACATTACTGATGTAAAATCTTGAACGAGCTCTCTTGCAAAGCGTATTTACTTTTTTTCTGTAGAGACGAAACATGACATTGTTTCCGCTATTCCAAGCTGCTTGACGTTTGGAGATTAATCATTTGATCTCAGATGTTACCCAGGGCTTATCACTGCTATCCGATTTTATATACGTTTCATTGGAAGGTACTGATCGACAATGCCATTAACAATGAATGAAAAGTAATCAAACTTATCGTTGCAAGAGTCCATACTATACAGGGGAGACCAATTTATACTTGACAAAACCTCGAAGACTAACTTCCGATTAGAGGATCGCGTGTCTCTGACCATTCGGGTACTCCGGGAGTTCATACATTGCTTCAGCGGTTTTATCAACACTGAGTTATGGTCAGAGAAACCGACAGGTGGGAGAATCTCAGGAACGTTATAAAATTTGGACGCATTTGTAAATATTTTATCTAAGATGTTGGATCCTCTTGTTGCATGCTTAACAACCTGTTTAAAGGAAAACGAGTTACGTAGTTGACTGTGCCTAAATTGGTTAAAATCGCCTGCAATGATGATTGCTAACGCAGGATAGGATGTTAATGCACTGTCGAGGGACTCAATAAGGTGTGTTAACAAGACCCTATCGTCGCTTTTCGGTGGATGGTAGATTGCAGCTAAAATTATATAATTAAATCCTCGTGGTAGTCGACTTGGATTTTAGGAGTCATAACGATTCAACTTCAGGATGTGAAAGTTCCTTAAGATGAACCACTGGCATACGATCGTTTACATACTCCACCTCTTCTACCATCACGTCGGTCACGCCTAAATATGGAGAAGCCATTTAGATTTATCGCTGAATTGCTGACATTAGGAGAAAGCCAAGTTTCCGGAATGACCACAATATCCAAAGAAAGCAAAGAAACATTTCCAGACAGCTCGTCGATTTTATTGACTAATGACCTCGAGTTGGATAGGAACAAGGAGGGTAAGAAGGTATACGAGGCATTGCTGCCTAATTTAATTTTCCGAAGGTTACGACAATTACTGAGTATGCCAGATTTATAATTGCGGATAGATCGGTGATCACGTGCAGTAATCCGAACGGGGATCATGGTAGAAGGTACCTTGTGGGAATCTGTAAGGTTTTTAGGAGGACATAAGGGGATGTTTGAAGCCCTCGAAATGCAAGGGGTGTTATAATTTTCCGACAAATTATTCAAGTATTCTTTGGTTTTATTAATTTCTGTAAACTCATGTTCGAGAGGTTCTATTGGGTAATTGGACTCGGTCAGTTCCGCTTCGCATGATGTAAAACTCTTGGGTGGTTTTATACTAGTGTTGATTTGTGAGTCATTTGACTCACAAATTGTAGATAAACTGCCCATTCCATAGATTGTTTTTCCAAGACAATACGCGGGGGTCGATAATTGGCAGGGCTCTTTCGAAAAGGGGCAATTTTACGTTGAGGTTGAGTAAAATCCCTTAGACTTGAGGTTTTAGATTGACATATACCGTGTTTGTGACCATTCGGGATTTTTCCTAAAAATTTCCTCGATCTGTTAGATAATAGAGGGCTATTTGATTCCAAAGATTGGCACGGAGACAAAACGTGCTGCGGTAATAATGATAATTCCAGATTTGAGGTTTTAGATTGATATATACCGTGTCTGTGACCATTTGGAATTTTTCCTAAACATTTCCTCGATCTGTTGGATAAAAGGGGACTATTTGATCCCAAAGATTGGTACGGAGTCATAACGTCCTGTGGTAATAATGATGTTTCATTTAGGTAATTTGCTTGTTTACAATTAAAACCTTGAGTGTCACACAGCGGTAATTTATTCAGAAACACTTTATTGGCATGACCTGATATTTGCAATTCGGGGGTTTGATCTTGATTCCTTTTGTTAACATGCAACGAGGGAGTAATAGGCGCTTGAGGTGGAACAATAGGCGGTTGTAGAGAGACAATAGGCTCTTGAGGTATAACAATAGGTGATTGATTTGAGTTAGCATCATAATCCTTTAAACATTTTTCCAATTTCATGTCCAAGGAATTAATTTTGCTTTTAAGTACCTCAATTTCAGAATTCTTTTCCTTCTCGATTAGACTTATTGTGGGTTCTGATTTCGTACTTTTACTTCCCTCCCCATCGAGCACAGATTCAAGATGCACAATGTTGTAATTATTAAAACATATGGTTTGCGTATTTGCCAGCGATTGTAGAGCATCCACTCTGGTTAATATAATTTCGAAATTGATTTTCATGTTATCAAACTCAGATAACAAGTCAACACACAAACATTGTTCCCTGTTAGGATCAACAGTTTGGGAAGATTGATCAACATATTTCGGACTCGGCTGTTTGCACATATCTTTAACTGCGCTACACGAAATGTTCGGGGTCTGTGTGTGTGATGAATTAAGGCACTAATAATATTGAAAGTATCACGAAATTATTTGAATAAACCACATCGCATATATGGGGGGCGAAGATCCTAAAGGGGAGGCGATATTCCTGGGGCATTCGCCCCTCTGGGGAGCGATATTCCTTGGATATTCGTCCCCCGGGGGCGGTATTCCTAGTAATATCGCCCCCTTTTGAGACGGGGGGCGAATCCCCTGGGGAGGACAAAAGTCCTGTGACAACGGCATGGGCAAAAATCTATCTTGCCCCCCAAAATATGAGTTTGTCCCTCAAATGCCCCCCGCCCCCCAAATTCTGAGGCCTGGCGCCGCCACTGATTATACCAAACTTATAACGACAATTTTCAATCGATCGCTCTCTTTAGCTTCCTATCCATGCCAAGCCCCTTGAAAATCGGGAGAGTGGCAGCACTTCATAAACAAGGAGATCGGACGGATGTTAGTAATTAGAGAGGTTAAGATACCCCGGTTCCGGTTTACGGGTACGAGTATCGCCATTTTGTTTACCAATTTTTGCTGATGTCAGCAATTTTACCCGTAATTTTTACCCGTTTCCCCGCTGTAAACCGTGATCTACACGTAAACGACAAACGGGTACGGGTGTTTTCTGTTTACTATTTTAGGGCCGTTTAAATAGTACAAATTTTCAACATCTTATCCAAATAAATAATGCACATATGCTAGTCAAAGTTTTCAACAATTTATGGCGAACCTCAACAGCGAAAGTTGCCTTTCTTTGATTGGTTTTCTCACGCCGGAGTACTTGGATTTCTTAAGATACAAGTTATTCCCCGATTTACGGGTACGGGTACGTGTATATCACCATTACCCGTAAACCGGAATCGGGGTATCTTAACCTCTCTAATATAGGACGATAACGATCCTTTAACAATCAGCAACATTTTTGAGCGAGCGCGCGGTTTATGATCAATTCTACGAATATCTAGCTTGTTGCCAGGAAGATCCTTGCAAAAGAACAGTTTGGTGTTCGAGCAAATAGATCATAGAGATCTGGCCTCCATGGATGCAGGCAAAGTAACAGAAGCTGCTATCCCTGACCTAAACAAAGTGTTCGACACTGTAAACACTGTTGACCATGGACTGCTGCTGCATAAACTAACTCGTTCTGGTCGGTTATATAACCTGGTTTCGGTCTTATTTATTAGATCAATATAATTAAATGTCACGATGATAGACAACAAACAATTTTCCTGATGAGCTAGTACCTATTGGTGTACTACAAGGAAGTATTTTGGGACCGTTGTAACGTTGTTGTTTATTATATTTGTGAACGATCTGCCTCATTGCTTCCAATTTTGCTAAGTAATGGTCCTTGCTGACGATACTGTCATTTACTATACATCATGCATGTTAAGTGAGGTTAAATCAAAACTCAATACAGATTTGGTGAGCGTAACGAATTGGTTTAACTCTATGTTGTTAACACTGAACTTTAAGAAATCTTCCTTCTCATAGGAGGTTGATTAATTAATAAAAATCTTACGGGAAGATCGAATTTGTTAAGTGCAAAGTAAACAAATTAAACAGTCCTAATTTATAGGACTAATTGCCATTTAGTTCGAGTATAACTCAGCTGATTTGTAAGAGGCTGCAAATTTTTTAATTAAATAAAAATATATTTACCTATTACATTGTATAGAGAATTTTATATATTGTGAATATCTGTTCTATATATTGATATTAATATCATTGAAAAACATATTTGGTGACAATCGATAGGCGTCGAAAGATCGATAAGTGGGGAGGGACCATATCCATATATTCGTGTTCACATACCTTAAAAACAATCGATTTCAAAATAACTTAATAATGCAGAACACGAATATATGAATATGGTCTCCCCCCCCACTTATCGATCTTTCGACGCCTATGGGTGACATGAACTCCAGGATTAAATATTATTATTATTATTAATTTCAGTCCGCTCGGAAAAAAGTCAGCATGGCATCCATATGTAGCCTGGAAAAAGATTGACACCGAGGAACTTGAAGAGAAATTTAATTGAGGTATTATCTTGTATTTAGACCTGTTTGGGAATGGAGTTAAATATTTCTATCATACCTGTGCATCTTGGTTCTCTTCTTCCAGTATTGTCACAGATTCGTAAAGTTCTGACACGTTAGTCTTGACAATTTTAAGAAGATCAGCGTCTACTGCCTGACCACAGCATAATTGTGGACCTTTAAAAAAATCAAATGGTGAAATGGTGATTATGCCCTTTGTCAGGGAGGCCGGCGAACACGTGCGAGGATGTCAATCTCCAGATATGTTTCCAATGTACGTTATCAACCATGTATACAGCGACTCATCACTCAAGAGATATGATTTGGTAGGTACCGAAACGACACAACGGGTTTTGCTCCAACGTCAAGAAAACAATATCATATTGGAGCAGTGTGTTTTGGAAGTGGCTAGAAAATAATAATATGGAGGAAAAAACTTCAAGATCGAGGAGAAAATAGAAAATAATATGACTCCCGGAATTGTAATATACTGTATACGTAAATGGCGCAGATGGTGCGTTTAATTTGCACCCACGGTGAAGAAATACACAATGAAATCATGACACTCTAGACGAAACATATATAAGAGCACAGAACCGAACAAGAATGGTGTTTACACAAGACCTCATCGTAGAATGCATTACTTACGTAAATACAATTTAAACTGGTCATTATATTATTTGAAGTTTTAGACCTATAATGGTGGCGCAAAACATGCTTGTGTTTGCCAAATTTAGTACGAGTAAACTCGTTTTGAACGTTCAACGTGATAGTTCCAAAAATTTGCATGAATTCATGTCCAGTCTCAAAAACGCCAAATGTTGGTAAAATAGAGCATCCGAATTCTAGCAGATGTTGAATCCATTTGTAATATAAGGCCGATATAACATACAATTTGATTGGCTAATGCGCTTGCGTTATAGGCCTAATGCAATAATGCACTGTGGTCTTTCTGTGTTTTTTCCCGCTCCACTTTGTAGCCACAAATATAAACAAAACCATAAAGTTTTTAAAATACAAAATTTATCAGAAAGCAAGGAAAAATAGACAAAAAAAAATAGCCGAGAAAAACTTACAGATAAAGATACAGCGGAAATACCAAAACCAGAAAAATGTACGAAATCTGAACAAATGTGATTTAGAAAGTACCTTTAATACCTCTGATAGAAACTGTCAAATATATTTTCAGGAAAAAATACAATAATTTCAAGCAATCCGACGTATTCCACGGTTTTCATGGCAATTCCGGCAGGCCAGATGCTGAAAAATCTTACAAACTTAGTTTGCTTATCACTAATTGTTCTATTTCCAGCGTTTTAAATAGATTTTCTCAACTGTAACATTGGGCGCTTTCCATTCAATGGCCTGACCGGTCAGACCTGAATACTTTTCTCAGTATCAAAGGAAAGATCTGGTCTATGTTTCTCAAATGTCTAGCGAAAATGGACCTCATTCTAATGTTATCAAAATTTTCCGGTTAGATAGGTCCGAAGCCCAAATGTTTTGTGTTTCATTCAACAATTTGACCGTTCTGACCGGTTTGGCCATGTTAATGGAAAGCGCCAATTGTTTTCCTCAGCTGCTCCTTCCCCGCTTATGTCGACAAGCGTGTTGCTAAGCGACAAATATAAGTACATGCGCGGATTTCACTGATTACATGTTAGGAAATTTTGAGTAAAATTGATTCCTATGTAATATCTCCTACTAACCTTATAAAATAAATTATAGGAAAACTCTAATAGTGCGTTTAGGTCTGTTAATGCACGGGGGGGAATATTGGGTGTAGGAAGTCTAGGAATACATAAATTTATGCAAACTTCATTAACTTTCTAACTTTTTTCCCGCCTAGTAAATCATAGGCTGGTCACTTTACAGCATTATTTTACATGACTATAGATATATTATGGAGTGGTTATAATTTGATTTTCACTACCACTACCACTACCACTACCCGCGCCTTCCCCTACTGGATCAGTACGCATCTGATTGGTTAAGAGCTAGATTAAGCGTGTGAATATCAAATTTTCTGTAAATATTCTTTGGATAAACGTTCCCTGCAAGTTTGGCAAATTTGCTGCTGAAAATACATGTAAATATTATACAAGAAAATTACCTTTGTCTTTCCAGTTATTCAGTTCTTTAAGAAATTCGTTTTCGTCAGCACTTGGCAAGTTTAATTTCTTCACCAGTGTCTCGATATGCTGTATACACGAGAGATAATTTGCATCGCTCCAGTGTGAAAAATTACAATGAGCCCATTCGTTCCTCACCACTGAACGAACTGTATTTGCCTGTGCAGCAGTTCCAGATGTGTGAAATGGGTCAGCTTCACACATCACTGTTAATACAGCAGAAAGATCCATGGTTTGGTCAAAGCCGTTGAACTTTGCCATGAAAGGTTGGACAAATAACTTGGCAAGAGATTCCGGATCTTTGACATTATAATCATAAGCATTATATGTTGACTTGTGGTTGTCATAATTCTTGTTGATATTACCATAATTAAGTTTTATCGTGGAAGGTGGTAATGTTTTTGTTTCTTTTTTGTAAATTTGCTTGTTGATTTGCTTTGACGACGGGAGGCAAAGTAGGTTATACCAACCCAACATTTCTTTTGCAAGGACATTTCTCAATAGCGGAGTAAGAAGTTTGTTGAGACAAATGCCAATGACGACCCATCTTCGTTGATCGTCGGTGATGACTGTAGGTGGAGTCACTGCAGGCAAGCTTCCTGCTACGGCGGTAGCCATAGTAATCCCTGCAATCAAAAGGCTATAATGTTAGAGGAGTTTGTAGGCACTTCTTAGTAGTCATCGCCCGGGAAAATTTCGATAGTGCCCATTGTGAGTTGTTTAATTTTCCAGGGCGATGACTACTAAGACCAGCATTCCTCGCGGGCATCAAGCCTTGTGATGTCATTATGCAAAAGTCTATTCTTTACATCTAAAGGAGTAAAAGTGGGGATTCGTTGGCGTAGTCGTTCGTGAGAGCAAGCGCATTTGCCCTGAGTCTGTGGGTTTGATTCACGCTACGGGTTCATGTGCATGAAGAGAGTCCGTCGTCCCTGTGTCGATTTTCTCCTGCTGCTATGGTTTCCTCCCGCAAGGAAACTTAACATCGTCCATGGTAGGATAAACACAGCTATAGAAGAGTAATATCACAATTTTTGCAAAGATGAAATAGTCTAGGATTGGTAAAATAGTCAAAGTATGTAAACTAGGAGTTACTATCGCAAGGAAAGTGCTGCCTTTTTGCCACATGAACTGAATGCAAAAGTTTATACTTCTAGACAATTCTCTAAAGGGAAGTCTACTTTTGACCCAATGGCCTCATTTCCACGTTTCATCTGTATTCATCATTGGTAGCATGGCAGGCCTGCACATGAAGGTTATATCCCCTATGTTTCCTGCGCAAATTTGTTTCTCGTTCATAATTTAAGAACAATCACATGAATATCTTCTAAACTCTTCAGAATTTGCTCAGAGTCAATGTGAGTAAAATACTCTTTGTATTCAAGCGCTTTCATGTAGAAAGTTTCGTTTGAATACTGCACAGAGTAGAAATATTTATTTTGAATTTTTCAAAATGTCGGGTTTTTACTCGCACGCACGCGCATGCTTGGCCATATATAGCCCGATGCACCACGTGGATGCACGTGCAAACCATGCCACTGGGAGTACTTTGACTTGTACAATCGATTTCCGGTTTTTCCAGATCCGTGACGGTGAGAGACCCGGCACGATTCCTGGCCGCGCTAAAAATATAAATATTCTGTAAATACCGAAATAAAAGATGAAAATCTGAAGACACAAGCTTGAAAATAACACTCTACATAGTGTTTTGGATTCTGATTAGAATAATACTATTACGAAAAAGATATGTCCAAAGGGCCGAAGTTATGTTCGGCGAAATGTATGGCTAGTTTACACTGTTGATTGGTCGTTATATTATGAAATATGATACCATACCTTACTTGTGTCGAACGCTAATGTTATTGTATTAGGCAAATGAGAACCGTACAATAAATGTTTTAGTTCTTGTTGGCATTTTGAACGCACGCTTGATCTTTACTAGCTACCAGGGCGCTTATATAGAATGTAGGTTATCTATCTATATAAGCGCCCTGCTAGCTAGCACAAAGCTTTTCGCGCGGATTATATTTCGCGCAGTACTAAAATTTGCGCACACAACGCTGCGCGAATTCTAGACTGTACTGCGCGAATTTTAATACATGTAAGGTATATTGTGGAAATTTGACTAAAACTATGGTAAGGAATTAGGAGATTTTGTTTCACTGAATCGAATGGTACTATTTCTGTCTTCATACCATGAACCGAACCGAAGAAATGAACCTTGCAAACTCATAGATTTGAGAGATTCCCTTGCGAAAATAGCTATATTATATTGCTATTTTAGAACTATTTTATTACTATCATCCCTATTTTTATGCTATTTTATTCAGAGGCAACCCTATTTTAATTCTATCATAATATTTCACCAAATGAAAGAGCCATATTTTATTAATGTTTTACTTTATTTTATTCCTATTTTTTACTTAGATAATAGAAATAAAATCGCATATTTTAATACTATTTTCCAGAGCCTCTAAAATAGGTTTAAAATAGCGTATTTAAATTCTATTTTACTTCACTAGAAAGCAGTTAGAAATTAAAATAGATATAAAATATACTATTTTTAAACTCATAAAATAAAGTAGGCTGTTTAAAGGGGAACTCCAGTCCCAAAACAAGTTGAGTTTAAATAAAAGATTATACCTTTAATAGATTGTTCCTGAAGTATCTCGGTCCAAATCGTTTTAGTAAAGGAGAAATCGCTCATCAAAGTTCGCAAATTTTGCAAATTTCGACGCCATGTTGTTCTTTTACGTGCAGGCGCGAATTTGGTCAGCGCCCTTATTTGTGACGTCATTGCGTGCTTCTGAAGTGTTGTTGTTCTCGCATTGCTAGTGTTTTACATTTGATTTCATCATGAATATCGATGTTTTAAGTCCATCGAGCGATAGTTCATCGGATTCAAGAACTTCAAGTTCTTCATGTGTGAGTTTAGATGAATTTCATAGGAATATTTTACAAGGGGGCGAAGTCCTGGGCTACCAGTTTGAACCTAGACGAAATCCCAACAGCGTCAGTGCTGAATTAGCTGACAATGAAGACGACCAAAGTATGTCGATTGACGAGGAAGAATCGTTCGTTCGTTTGGGTAATCTTGACTGGTAAAACATCATAATTTGTGGTTTATATTGACGAATTGAATTTTCGTGTTCTTGAATTATGTCATTCCCAGCATAAGTATTTGTTATTGTTAGGTGTTTATGTGAACATTGTCAGATAATGGATAGAGAGGAAGAATGCGTCTGTTGTTATGAAATTGAACAGGTCGCTAATAAAAATCAAGAAGTTATGGAATACACAAAGCCAACCCTGCCATATAATTGGATAACAGATAATCCAGGTTTCCATACAGTCTGTTTAGATAGATGGGTTTTGCAGGCTGCTTGGTTGGACTATAAACAGCAGTATGGAAGTACAGCATATGAAGGTCCTGAGCACAAAATCTCTCGCCATGTCGCATACCGCCAGCTAGTGCGATGGTGTTGGGGAGTAGTTGGGAAAGAAATACGAGTTGTTCTTCCATCTTGTGCTGTTAGTTGCATTCGAGCCCACTTTCCACCTCCAGGTGATGAAGATGACTTTGAGTTTGTTGGATTTCGCTTTGCTGATGAATAACTTGATTGTTCTGTGTTAAAAAATGTGAGGTATTTGACATATTTATCAACTTTAATACATAAACTCCCAGTTCATATATTCAAAATGTCTGTCACTTCTGTTTATTACTGAGCCGCTTCTCAATGACATCCTGTTTTGGTGGCTTAGGAGTTGGTGCAATACATTTTGCTTGAATTTTTGGCTTGTATTTGAATTTTTTGCCTTTCTTACACAAGATTACATCATTCATCATGCCCTCAACATAGCTGTAGGATTTTGGGGTCTTAATCTCCTTGGCCACCCAGTTCTTTCTCTGCTTGCCACAAACAATCTTGAACCTTTTCTCGCTTTGCTTTGATCCTTTCTTCACTTCTGCCTGGGCTCTGTTCACATTGGCATTGTGGTCCAAGACGGCTAGCTGAGTTCGAGCCACCATTCCATTATAACAAAAGTGCTCACGTTTAGGTGCATATTTTGTCATAAGGGAATGGTATGACTCTAACTCACCAGTGTGGTGGAATTCTGTTAGCTTTGCCAGATCTTTCAGCAGCTTTTTGTTTGTGATGACTTCTTCCAAAGCAACATGAGCAGGGAAACCATTTTCAACCCATACAATCTCTTTTTGATCTTTTCTACTTATTCTAGGGTGGCCACATTTTTTTACTAATGTAAATTCCTTGGAGGCCCTCCAACAGTGTTTACCAGTGATGTGATGCAACAAGGACAACCACTTCTCCCTTAGGACATCTGCATTCTGCTCGCATGTTACAGAGCACCACCATAAATGGTTGGAAACACTCTGGATCCATGGCAGTAACTCTTGACAATCTTTCTTTTTTGCCTTCTTTGACAGCTTTTTGGTCACCCACTTCCTAAGATGCCACACATCATACTGGTGAACAATGTTGGGATAGTTTGTCCTCATCTTCGCTGTGATTGTTGTGTGACGATCTGTTGTAAGACATCGGATTGGAATCTTCTTCTTGACAATTGAATTTAGTGTTCTCTTACAGCCTTCATATTCCATTGCATTAGACGATGTTACCTCTGTCACTTGAACAAGGTTAAATTCAATTATCAAGTTTGTTTTCTCATCCATCAGGGTATATGTGCCATATTTAGCAGAATGCCCAGGACTATCGCACCGCCCGTCACCACATACATCCACACTGTCGCTTTGCTTTAACTTCTTTACCAGTGCATTCTGGCTTGTTATCCAAGTATGTTGCACTACTGGGAAAAGAATGGTAGCCTGGGTAGTATAGTAATGGGAGAAGGAAACAAATTGAAGGTTGAGATACTTGGCAAAGTCTACAGTGCGTTTATAGGTGTTTCCACTGAATAAAATAGCTGCTGGTATCAAAATGTTTCCTGCTGCATTTCCTTCGATTAGTGGTTGTGATTGCCAGGATACACTATGTCCATTCAAACAATTTGTAGCAATTGTAACCATACTTCCCTGATTTATTTAAGTTGTAGTATCAATGGGACTACCACAATGTTGACAAATTTTTAATAGTTTATGTAACTGACTTTCAAATACAATAATTTTTTTTTCCACAGCAGGTGCAGTATCAATGGAATATTCATCATCTGTTTCAGAGTCATCATCAGAAGCTGAAGGACAATATGAAGAACCGGTATCACTCAGAGAGTCATTATCTGCATCATTTGAAGGTCCTTGTTTCTTTAGTTCCACAATAACCCCATTTTGGACATCATCACATTCAACCAATGTCAGTTGTTCTTCAGTCACTGGTGTGCATGGTGTTGTACATGGTTCCACCGTGTCTTTATTGTCATCTGTTGAAGAATTATTATTTGGGCCCAAGGAGTAACTGTGATCTTCTAAGTGACATAATTTGTTGATGTCATCAGGGTGTATTTTTGTATTTCCTTGCATGTGTAAATGTTCAGTTTGGGTTCCAACAGTCTTAAATGTTTTAATAAAAGGTTGAACCTGAACCTCTTTATCTTGTGTCATAGTTTCAATATGTCGAGTTGAAGTACAGGTAGTTTGTTCCACATCAGCATTTGAACTTTCTATATTTTCATTTGCATAACAACTATCTGCATCCAGAACAAATATGTCTTGTTCCAATGTTTTTGCAACCTTGATAAAATTAACGAATAAAACAGAATATTTGACTGGTTAATGTTTAGCATGAATATTAATGACCCCTGGCAAAATACAACAATATCCTAAAGTTTCCAAATGCTAAATTGTAACCAGTTCATGGGTAAAAATGTTTAATTAAAATTTCAAATTAAAATAAAACATGTTATTTGGCACATTCATTTTATATAGAGCGAAATAATTTCGTCAATGTTGCAAATCAATGTTGCAAACCTTAAGTTACAATTAATGTATAAATAGTACTAGATAATGAATTTGTACAAACTTTGTTTTTGAAGTATTCTTCAAATGTATATTAAAATTATATTCTTATATTAACAAGATTTACAACATTGTGTATACATTTTGTTCACAAAGCGCCAGGATTGTTTGTATATTGATTAGTAAATGAAATATCATACAGTATGTGAGACAAGAATCTCCAAACCTTTCTTGTCCGATTTCGTATTTGTTTCACACTTGACAATCTTGTTTTGTTTTCGTTGCCCTTCGTTGGAAAAGCACACATAGTTGGCACTGCTGATGGCTTCAGCGTTTTACGTTTCTTGAAACCAGGAATTACTTCAGCATTCGGTTCAAAACAATCGGGTGCAAAATGTGCGCTGCAGACATACGTATTCGCACGCTCACGAGGGTTCTCTCGACGTAAATTACGCAACCAAACACTTCTGAGCGGCCCATTTGGCAACCTATGATAACTTATATCTGTTCCTTTGGTCTTTCGACTGCCATTTGTGCACAAAGGAACAGTACAATGCGGCATTTTTTGTTATATAAACTTTTAATTCTGTAAATTTCAGGTTATAGTATAGCGCGCCACTATTATTTTAAATTCCCGCGACACAAGAAGCACGCAATGACGTCACAAATAAGGGCGCTGACCAAATTCGCGCCTGCACGTAAAAGAACAACATGGCGTCGAAATTTGCAAAATTCGCGAACTTTGATGAGCGATTTCTTCTTTACTAAAACGATTTGGACCGAGATACTTCAGGAACAATATATTGAAGGTATAGTATTTTATTTAAACCCAACTTGTTTTGGGACTGGAGTTCCCCTTTAAATCCTATTTTACATTGCAAGTTAAATGCACAAATTTCAAACAGGAATAAAATATACTATTTTAATCCTATCTTTCTTTCATAGTTAGCAAAATAACAATAAAATAGACTATTTTAAACATATTTTGCACGTGCAGAAAATTACATAAATTAAAATAGATATAAAATATAGTATTTTAAAGCTATTTATTTTTCAGAATACGCAAAACAGAATAAAATAGACTGTTTTAAACCTATTGCACATTTTTAAAAATGCCACATTTTTCAAATAGGGATAAAATATACTATTTTAAACCTATTAATTTACTTTCCCTAATTTGCAAAATATAATAAAATACACTATTTTAATCCTATTTTACATTTACAGGAATTCAGGATTACAATTTGCAGATATGTATAAAATAGTCTATTTAAATTAAAACATTCTGAATTTTCCTACTTAGCAAAATGAAATAAAATAGAACCGTATTTTATAGTTACACAGATAAGGGACCAATCATTAATAATGGAAGGAGGGGTGAGGGGCGGAGGGTGAGAAAAGGGGGAGGCTTCAACTGTTGCCTACACTGGTCATCCCATGCAGTGCTTCCACTTGCAAGGAAATTTCTTTGCAAACAGAAATAAAATTTACTAGGAAACGGCAAGGAATTTTGTTTTCAGCAAGGAAATAAGGATATTATGTTTTTTCTAATAAATCCTAAGATTATAGCAATTCCCAAGCAAATTCGCGTCAGGAAATGTCGAAAATCCAAATCCTACTCCTGGGGAATGAAAAATCTGAAAAATTTCTGAGACAGGACCTCAAGCCTCCTGTTGCAGTTTTTTATAATTATTTTATAATTGTAAGGTTCATGGTGTTTCTCACCCGAGAAATACACCGTCATTTAGGATAAATTATTGTAATATCAGTTTTAAACTAGGTAAAATTCATCTTCATCAAAGGAATTTTTGTCAAAAATAAGGAAATTTTGAGCAGTTGGGAAGGAATGATTTTTTTGAAAGTGGAAGTGGAAGTGAAAGTGAAAATTTTTTTTCCGGACTCAAAAATTTTTGCAGGACAAAGAAAAATAGGGTCAAAAAAATTTTTTCGGACTAACATCAATTCAATTAAGGTTTAAAACACATTTTGCCCCAAAAAACTTCTTAAAACACGATTAAAACGCTTATTTTCGAAATTTCGGGGACACCCTTACACTGTACCTCGCAATAGGCCCTGTAATTTTCCCCATTGAAAAGTCTCTGCACGAATTTTTTTTTTCAGACATTTCTGGTGCACGAATTTTTTTTTCTTTCTATTTTCCCTGCTCGAATTTTATTTTTTTCCCATCATTTTTCTAATGGTCCGCCCCTTACTAAATTATTGAAACATATAAAACAAGAAGAGAACATGGAAAGAGTATTACGCCAACAAGGCTGCCCTAAAAGTACGTTTGTGCGATATTCAGTGCAGCACGCTGTGATCAAATCGACATGTGCTGTTGTCTGCTACGATGTCTTTTATATTCAGGTAAATGTTTTGTTTATACTTGGGTTTTAACTGTTGTGAAATAGTAATTTTGGTCAGAAATTCTATGCTGGGATTCTATTGCATTGGATTTATATGCTGACTATGTATTTAATATTTATTTATCAGATCTGATCGAATATTCGTCCCCGGCAAAGAAAGTCAAGAGATTTGAAACCATAACTACAATTTACTGTTAATATTTTTATTGATGCGCTATTATTCAAGACGGCTTCATAACTTTATTTTTATTTCTACATTTATTTTATACTATATACAATTGTTTGTAATCTATAACCAGATATCTGAATATAAATCTTTATAACATTGTATGTCATTTCACATAGCATGATTGTTGTATAAAATTATCGAACTTTCAAGCTAGATAAATTTTTGTATATGCATGCAAAGTTTTATTTTAGTATTGGAAAACTTTCATACTGTAGGCTGAAACATGGTAGCATGATGTATATAGTCATTATCATGACAGCTGAGTTGCCTTGGAACTCTTACGATTTTGTGATATACACCCACAGTACATGAAGTTACACCTCAGGAAGTAATAAAGATGACAACTGTATAATCTTTATAGTTACTATATTATTTTTATTAAAAGCAATGCATGGTAGTATCTTTTTATCATTCTGGAGGTGACAATGAGCTTCAATATCACAAGATTTGTCAGGTGATATATTGGAATTTGTCTGGTGATATATTGGAATTTGTCTTGGAATATACGTCTTGAGATCTGACAACTCAGAACTGCCATTAATTAAATTACTAGAAAATACATGCATGCAGAAACCCTCGCTTTGCTGACAAAACCGTTGTATTCTCCGAACATGAAGTTTCTAAAGTAGTTGTCATGGTAACACGATAATTTTTTAAGAATATTCTTACAAATGAAAATCGCCTAAAAATATCACTTTTAATTACAAAATTATCAATTTCCCAACATATATATGTTAGGTATGTAATTATACGTAATACAAGCTTCAATTTAAGGTAAAACTCAACCACAAACAATTCACAAAACGTTTTAAAGTGTTCTTTATAAAACTAAACTGCCTTTAACTATTAAATGGCTTTATCGATAAACTTTGAGTTTGCAATAAAATGATTTCAAATTCTCGCTTGCAAATAACTTTGCTTTATTTTTTATTTAAAAAATTCAATATAATAAAAAAGGGAATCAATATTAAAGATAAACTGAAATTATATGCTGTCTTGTTTAGTTGTTTCATATACGCAAAGGCCGTCGGGCTTTAAAGCCATTATAAAAAAGCCATTAAAATCAATATTTAAAACAAACTTACCTTCGTCAACGTCGGCTCCCTTCTTTTAGCTGATTCTCTCGCCCTTTCTTTCTTGAAATTTACAAAATCTTGCAGAAATACGAGCAAAAATGAAGAATATTTGCAAGAAATTTATCAATCATCAACTCATCAAATCAAGAAATGTTTGCTATTTCGCTGTCGTCATGCAGTCGTTATAATGCAAACTTTAAATTGGACCAATCAGTGTCCGTTATTCATGACAGTCCGCCATATTTTTGAGATCAGTGAGGATGACCACCCATCGTTGGTGACCGACGCCCGCGCTCATTGCTGAAATTTAGACTTCGCTAATGCTTTCGTTTCCCCGGGTGTAAATAGCCGGGGGGAATTAGTACCCTCGCACGGCGCTTCGCGCCGCCGGCTTGGGGATTAACACTAGCTGACATTGTACATTATATTATTTTATACCACGATATTCTAGTAAGAAGTGTATCCAGCATACAATAGTGAAATCAAATGTTGACTAGGCAACAACCTTCTATTATTCTATCTGCCATAAATCCCCTATTCCCCCTCTAAAATAGATGTAACTCCCCCACGGCCTCACCCACCTTCGAAAACTAAAATGTATTACCCATATCAATAGCTAGAGGATTTATGGTAAGGCACAGTAGCTATGACATTGTCATATAGCATCCTGTTTGTATGCTGCACATGTCAGATGTTTTTCATGCATGTTTTTGTTGTTATTTAAAACAAGAACATCTTCTCGATAATGCCTGGCAATTATTGTTTCCGAACATTTGTGCCAAAAACATTTTGTTTGAATTACAGTGTTCTTGATGGGGGTTCTTGATAGAGTTCAGTCTTGTCCTCTTAATATGCAATATATATCACCTTCATTTAGAAAAACACTTATTCTTTCTTGTGTTGGTATGGGTACAAAATGTCTACAGTAGCCCCAGCTATGAAGATTTCTATCTGATTGTTGAACTTGGTGGTAATAACAGTCAGGGATACTGAGAGGTTGTGTGGGGTACAGGGCAAAACTTTCCCACGGGTCCCTATGTCATAATTGTAAAACAGGAGAAGCAGTGTTTTATAATATATTGCACTTTATTGCATATTATCCAGCACTGACACAGCTAGGATTTATATTATTGGTTAAGCAATCTTGTGTCAAGAAAATTTAAGGGACTTTGGGGGGGGTCCCTCTAATCTGAGGTCCCATCAATCTGGGGTTCCATCACTCCCAAGCCCAAAATGCCCCCCCATTTGCTATATCATTCGGTGTTTTCTCCACAGATAGTCTTGAACATTTACATCTTACACTAAATCCTGTCATGCATAGAAAGGCTCAAAATTAAACAATGCAGTCAGACTATACTGTAGGTTTGCCTTTAATTTTCAGAGATCTTCATGCTTAATGATATTAACCGCTTGTCCCAATAGTAATCTACCTTTATGGTGTTTGAGAAAGTGTCCTAATGCATGGAAGCAATATAAATTTCAGGTTAATTGCATAATTTACAATAGCATGACAAATGGCAAAGACAAGGCTGCTGCTAGCAATGGGGAAAAAAGTCAAAACTTGTTTTGTTCATTTCAATCTTTGCAAATAAAATAATTATATATGCTTTAAGAATTTAGCTATATATAACCAGGACATGCAGTTGGTTTAAAATATTGTCCAACTCGTATATCAATTTTATAAATTGTAGATGAAAATATATCTACTAACAATTCAAATGCGGTATATATTTTGTGCAGTATTTACGAAAGATAAGCTCTCATATATGGTTAATCCATGCAAAAACATGCAGACTAGAATTTATCAACAACAAACAACATATAAACCATTAAACTTACTGTTGTGTACTCAATATTGTCAGCTTGTTGTTGAGTAAAGAGCAATCGAGCATTGAACAAATCATATTCATCAGTTGATCATACTTCATGCATGATTCGGCATGTTTATCACGCTATGCGGTTCAAAAGGAAAATTATTCAAACTTGTACAAGTCAAAAGTTTCTATATTTCTTATAAAAAGCAGGCACCACCACACAAACAAGTGAACTATATAGAGTTTCGCTCATTTCAATCGCCATGTTTGATAAAATATTGTTGTAAAATGCCAATACTTCATGTTGTAACATGTGTAATGTATCAAAACATAAACAAATGCCGGGCACATGCGCAAAAGGGACTTATCCCCCCCCTTTAATGCATGTTAGGGTATGATATAGTTAATTTATTGATAGTTATTGTGTATTCGTGCGATCGTGTGATTCATGATATAGTCACGCAAACAGTATTTTCATAGTTTAAGTAGATATTTTTCATTGTCATGTTATTTAGTTCAAACCGATAAACGATTGTATACGACTATATTGATCTATTCTTGTGAACATTTTGGATCCGTATTATAAAGTATAACTTTATTTACGAACTGTGTCTGTGTTCATTTGCCTATCATCTATCGAGTTCGAAAAATCTGCGCACCATTCAACCCGAATGTAATCTTATTGGTTTACAGTCAGTAATTTCAATTGTTAGTCCAGCTCATTTGTTGATTTCTGCCATTGGGATTACATTTAAGTTCGAAATTGCTACACAGCAAAAGAATTCGAAGGATCTAAGGAATTTGCTGCCTGAGATTGTGCTTGCGGCACGGTTAAGGAATGCGAAGAATTTCCTGATCAACCGCGCATAATTAAAAAACGTACTGGACCAATTACAGCTTCTTAATGGACATAGAGATAAGCCAAATTATGGAACAATTAAGAAAGGCACGAAGTACTGCCAAAGGAAATGTCACCAGGAAAGCCAACAAGCTTAATGATTTACCGACAGCGTGCGATAATGTTGACGCGATAAAGGAAATTGCAAATGATTTAGACGAGGTTTCTATACAATTTCAAAGTGCACACAAAGCTTATCATAGCTTGCTTAAAGAAGAGCAAGACCTAAATGATTCAACTGTCTATTTCAACTCAGTCGACGAATTTGGCTCGAACAACCGGCCACCCAATTTCAAGAAAATCAAATTCAACCACACGATATTCAGTAAGCACTGTCGGATCACATAAATCTTGACATTATAGCACACAATCAAAAACTAGCTCGATAAGAAGTACATCTAGTGCAAAGGCAAAAGCAGCAGCAAAACAAGCTGCATTAGAAGCGAAGGCTAATGCGCTCCAAAAACTGCGCAAGCTTCAATTCGAGGAGCTGAAGATTCAACCAAGGAAATCCCAAGTGAAACTTCAGGGTGAAATAGCAGCAGCTGAAGCGCAAAAAATAGTTTTCAAACAATGCAAAGCAGAAGAATTGCATTTATCTCAAGAAGAAAACAGACCTCTTTCTGTTCAACCCCATCATATCTCGACAGCATCAGTTGTTGATGTGGCATGTCCGATTGTCTGTTGAGACTTGAGGGAGTTAAAGTTAAATGAACCTAATTTAAAAATGAAAATTAAAGCCCATCAAATGACTTTCAGACAAGACATAACAAAATATAAAATTTATTGGCTAACGTTTCGTTGTATTGTTCACAACATGTTCAGAGCAATTAAACTTATTTACAAGTGTGTATTATATATACAAATAGTTTCAAACGGTTACAGTATTCAAATAAGCGAATAAGAGGAAGGATAAAAAACAACCTGTCATTAAAAGTAATAGTATTAGTAAATTAAATAAATAATGGTTAGTAATTAGAGACCTAGCAAAGCATTAGAAAAGGTCAAGAGGAGTTCACCTAATGTTAGCATTTAAAGTAGGATTAAGCTTGGATATGAAAAGGCTTTCGCGAATGAGTAAATCTGCTTCAGAACTAGCAGTGGAAAGGATTTTAAAATCAGAGGGTGAAATTTGATGTTTAGTGGTATGGATATGAGCGATTATGCCTGACATATCCTTTCCACTGCTAGTTATGAAGCAGATTTACTCATTTGCAAAAGCCTTTTCATATTCAAGCTTAATCCTACTTTAAATGCTAACATTAGGTCAACTCCTCTTGACCTTTTCTAATACTTTGCTAGGTCTCTAATTACTAACCATTATTTCTTTAATTTACTAATACTATTACTTTTAATGACAGGTTGTTTTTCATCCTTCCTCTTATTCGCTTATTTGAATACTGTAACTGTTTGAAACTATTTGTATATATATAATACATGCTTGTAAATAAGTTTAATTGCTCTGAAGATGTTGTGAACAATACAACGAAACGTTTGCCAATACATTTTATATTTTGTTATGTCTTGTCTGAAAGTCATTTGCTGGGCTTTAATTTTCATTTTTAAATTACGCTTTCCACCCGGTGTATCAATTGCTACTGTTTTAAATGAACCTGTAAAAGTGTAAACCCAATAGGCCAATACACAATATTCTTTTACTTTTATAAAGTCATTGACATTGTATCGTTTGAATCCGAGTACAATTTATGATGCAACTCCAATGTAAATAATATTTGGGGCGTAAAGATTAAATCTATAGGCAAGTCTATTTCATAAAAGAATTAAAACCTAAAAATAATGTTCGTAAAAATTCCAAGCGTTCCTTGCAAGCAAGCTATTTGCATGACAAGGCACTGAAAACTCTATTCAGGGGAGATAATAGAGTTTCAAAACTTTACAATTGCTCCAATAAATCAGTGAATGCAAGCAAGGAGCGATTAGTTTCAGAGTATTGCACTGTCTTTTTCTATTTGAGTGTACTCCTAAGTTTATTTTGTATCATCAACACTCTGCACATTGGAGTGGACTATTTAATTAGGGGTTATAGCTAATATTGGGGGTAGCACCCCCCTGCACCCCCACAAAATCCGTCTATGTCAAGATCGTCAGAGTAGCGCCCTCCAGCAGATAGTGCAACAGCAACAACAAAGTGTCATGGTGCTGACGTTACCACAACCAACGATAAAAGCATTCAGAGGAGATCCCATAGAATACTGTGATTTTATTCAGGGCTTTGAGCATCTTGTTGAAGAGAAAACGCCAAGTTCCAGTGCTCGCCTATACTACCTGATCCAGTACACATCAGGACCTGTGCAAGACCTTATGAAAAGTTGTCTGTCCATGAATCTAGAGCAAGGCTACATCAAAGCAAGAAGGTTGCTGAAAGAAAGATACAGACAGAAATACAGAATCGCCGCAGCCCATGTGCAGACCTTGACAGAAGGACCATCGATTAAATCTGAGGATGGAAATGCTCTTCTACAGTTCTCCATACAACTCACCAGCTGCACAAATACGTTGAAAGAAATTGGCTTGCTGAGCAAGTTGGATCACCATGAAAATCTGAAGAAAATTATCAACCGGCTTCCTTTTGGCATGAGAGTAAAATGGTGTGATACTGTCGACCGTATTATAGAGAAAGAAGGAAGGGGCGTGACGATCGAGGATGTGACAGAATTCGTGACTGCCAAAGCGAGAGCAGCTACCCATCCGATATTTGGAAAGATCGTGAATGAAAATAAGGGAAAACAGGAAGACAACAAAGGAAAGCGACAATTTGGCTCCAGAGTGAGCGGTTTCTCAACACTAGGAGAACAAGGAAAACTGAACAAGAGTACATGTCCGTGCAATGCAAATCATTGGCTATCGCGTTGCGATAAGTTTCGCAAACTGTCTCTTGAGGAAAGAAAGAAATATGTGAGAGACAACAAACTGTGTTTAAACTGTCTCACAAGTGGTCACTTTGTTTGCTCGTGTGCAAAGCAAAGTTTCTGTAAGGTAGAAGGATGTTCAGGAAAGCACTCAACCTTTCTTCACCCAAGGTCTACTCAAACTGATGGAGAGAACAACAGAGAAAGGACGCCTCCAAAGCCGCCAACAAAAGAAGAAGAACGTGAAAATAGTTCCAGTCCAGCCAACAACGGTTATGTAAAGATTTCTTCAAAATCAAGCCAGTTGAACAGTTCCTTAGTGACAGGTCTTGCTATCGTTCCAGTTCGAGTGAAGGCAAAAGGAAGATCTGAAGTCGTCGAAACATACGCATTCTCGGGCTCGAACACCTCGTTTTGTACCGAAAGTCTTCTCAAGAAGCTCAAGGAGAGAAGACCAAGCTATCCTTAACAACAATGCTTGGTGAAGGAACTCCGACAGAATGTTCTATGGTTAAGCTAGAAATCTTTGATTTAGATAATCAAAATCGAGTCGAACTAGCGAAAGTGTACTCAACACCAAGTTTACCTATTCGCTCTGACTGCATCGGTAAGCAAGAAGACGTCGAAACACTGGCCACATCTACAAGGAATATCTATCCTGCATATCGAGGCCGAGATCGGTCTTTTGATCGGCAGTGATGCTCCAGAGATTCTGCAACCTCAGGAGGTACGAATGAGCGAGAACAGAGGTCCCTTTGCAACAAGACCACTGCCAGGCTGGGTTCTAAATGGACCACTCGGAAGAGAAGCGATCGAGGTGCAGACTGCGAATTGTGTTCAAGCAGACAATAGTCTAAATCAGCATTTCGAAGACTTTTGTAATATCGAGTTTAATTACGTGACCTACGAATCGAAAGCTTCCATGTCTCAAAATGACAAGAAAGCACTAATATCATGGAACAATCAGCTAAGTTAGTGGACGGCCATTATGAGATCGGACTACCCTGGAAAAATTATCCACTGAATCTGTCAAACAACTGATTACAAGCAGAGAAACAACTTTTCTCACTAAAGAGATGACTTCAACATGATCCATCACTATTAGAGAAGTACAAGCAGTTTATGGACGGTCTGCTAACCAAAGATCACGCCAGAAAGGTATCCAATCAAGATCTCGGACCTTTGAAAACCCAGTGGTATCTCCCACACCACCCGGTATTCCACCCACAGAAATCTGATAAGGTTCGAGTTGTGTTCGACTGCTCTGCCAAATTATTGATACCTTGCTGAACGACCAGCTGTTACAGGGGCCGGATCTCACGAACACTCTCATCGGTGTATTAACCAGATTCAGGGAAGAACCGGTGGCGTTGATTGCTCACATCGAAGCAATGTTTTATCAAGTGCGGGTCCCACCGGGCGACTGCGACGCCTTAAGATTCCTGTGGTGGCCCAAAGGAAACCTCTCGAAAGAGCCAGAAGAATATGAAATGAGAGTTCACTTATTCGGTGGGGCATCATCTCCAAGTTGTGCTAACTTTGCACTGAAGAAAACAGCTAGAGATGAGGCAGAGTTCAATCTCAAGGTCATCGAAATGGTAGAGCGGAACTTTTACGTCGATGATTGTCTTAAGTCAGTCAGCGAAGAGGACGAAGCCGTTGATCTTGCGAAGCAGCTGTGTGAACTACTTGGCCGAGGGGGCTTCAAGCTTACAAAATGGCTCTCCAACTCGAGAAAGGTCAATGCCTGAATCTGAAAGAGCTTCCATAGTCAAGAATCTTGATTTCAACAGTTGGTCTGTTGAGAGAGCACTTGGCATCCAATGGAACATATCAGATCAATTTTGTTTGAAGATTGTCATTAAAGATCGACCAGCAACGAGAAGAGGTATCTTGTCGATCGTCAGTTCTGTATACGATCCGCTAGGGTTTGCTGCTCCATTCATTCTTCAAGCCAAACTCATTCTCCAAGACCTATGTCGGATGAAGTTGGGGTGGGATGAAGAAATTCCCGAGGAATACCACAATCGCTGGCGAGCTTGGCTACAAGAGCTACCGAATCTGGAACAACTAGCTGTTGATCGATGTTTTAAACCCACTGATCTAGTAGAAGTCAACGACACTCAACTACACCGCTTTGCAGATGCATCACAACATGGGTACGGAGCTGTAACATATCTTAGAGTTAAAGATAAAGATGGAAATGTAAAGTGCTCGTTCGTGATGGGCAAATCAAGGCTTGCACCTATCAAACCGGTCACAATCCCTCGTATGGAATTGTCAGCTGCGGTCGTAGGAACGAATCTAGACAAAATATCGCGTCGAGAACTAAGTCTCACAATCAATCATTCTTTTGGACGGACAGTACGTGCGTGTTATGATACATCGAGGACCAGGACAAGAGATTTCAAATTTTCGTGGCAAATCGAGTCGCCGCCATCCACAACTCATCTTCACCATCCCAATGGAATTATGTCAATACTGACAATCGTTCAGGGAGGAACACAAGTTTCTTAATAAAATCAATCAGCAAACAATGTGCTCGAGAGGCACAAAGCTACTGAAGAAGTCAAGCAAAATTTTCAACCTCGACCCAGTGGTAAACGAAGGGCTTTAACACGTTGGAGGCCGCCTGGGGCGAGTACCAATTCACCAAAATGCAAAACATCCCGTTATCCTACCCAAAAATCACCACGTAGTCACCCTCATCGTGAACAACTACCACCACCTTTCTGGGCACTCAAGCCTAGAATATACTTTGTCTCTGATACGACAACGATACTGGATGATCAACGGAAGGAGGACTGTACGGAAAATCCTTAACCAGTGTATCAGTTGCAAGAAACAACAAGCACCAATGGCTCAACAGAAAATGGCTAATCTTCCAGAGGATCGACCGACGCCTTTGAAGCCACCTTTCACATACACAGGATGTGCGAAGTCGAAGCGATCGTGAATGGTCGACCTATTACTAAGCTTTCTGACAACCCACGAGATATGGAACCTCTAACCCCTAACCACCTATTGATGCTCAGAGCCGGACCCTCAGTTCCACCCACTTCCCTCTCCAAACAAAACATTTATGGTCGGCAATGGTGTCAAGAAATGGAACAAGCAACAGAGAAATTTCACAGTGGATGACATCGTGTTGGTCCTTGATGATAAAACTCTGTGACATTTCTGGCCACTCGGACAAGTTTTGGAGGTGTATACTAACTGCAATGATGGGCTCATACGTTCAGTGAAGTTGAAGACCAGGATGTCCGAACTTACAAGACCAGTTAACAAAATTGTGCTGTTGGAGGGAGCTGATGTCACCCAAAACGATAAGTAGACATTTTGTGCATGAACATTATTAGTAATTAACGATAGAACGTTTAGTTATTTCTTGTTTGTTATTTCTATTGACTTTAGTTTCGTTTCAAAACTTTATATTGTTATAAGGTAAAGGCTACTCATGGTTCCGCCTTTAAGGGGCTGGAATGTTAGTTTTAAAACGCGAATATATTGTGAACGTCATCACCTTAACGCGACGCAAATTATGCAGCTTATCTAATGTCAATCAAAGCCTGTCAATCTAGTTGCGCCTACGGGATCGAGTTATTAGTTAGTTGTGTGACTCAAGGAAGCTCAATCCTCTAGTACATTCTGTTGTGAAAGGACAAAGTTTTGTATCTGTGGACGCTATCGTGATAGCTGTTGGTAAACTATTTCTATCCACATTGTATTCTACGTACTCGCGGTGGTTTTCAAGCCAAAGTTAAAAGTCATTGGTGCGTGTGTAAACCAACGTGAGTACACATTTGACCTTTCTTTTGTACAGTTGCAATCGTCGGTTCTATATGTTGTTAAATGATTTAGTTATTGTATATTCAGTTGAAATATTCACTTATGTTTAGTTAATGCATGTTAGGGTATGATATAGTTATTGCGTATTTGTGCGATCGTGTGATTCATGATATTGTCACACAAACAGTATTTTCATAGTTTAAGTAGATATTTTTCATTGTCATGTTATTTAGCTCGAACCAATAAACGATAAACGATTGTATATGACTATATCGATCTTCTATTCTCGTGAACATTTTGGATCTGTATTATAAAGTATAACCTTATTTACAAACTGTGTCTGTGTTCATTTGCCTATCATCTATCGAGTTCGAAAAATCTGCGCACCATTCAACCCGAATGTAATCTTATTGGTTTACAGTCAAGTAATTTCAATTGTTAGTCCAGTTCATTTGTTGTTTTCTGCCATTGGGATTACAGCAGGAGATCTGCCAGGATAATATTTTCATCCTTCTCGGATGATTTATTCTTGTGGGATGATGCTGGTTTCTTAATTTTCATTGCCACATCAAAATTTCTTATAATTTCTGCTGCCCCCATGCTGCTTTGCTGAATCGTTCAATTGCCTTTGGTGTTTTGTTTGCTCCCATTGCTCTTATACCTTTTTTCAGCTCCCTGTTTAAGTTTTCTTGCATAAGATCGATTTCTATATTGTTCCCGGAACCACCCCTCGAGTTGACTAAAGAGGCCCACCTAGCTTGATGGGCCTGTCTCTTGGTGAGAAACGCCTTATCCTGCAAGATGCTTATCAACATCTCAATTGCATAAGTGTTATGACCACTGTGACTCTTAAAATGCTTCAACAATACAGACCTGCCAACCTCCAACAGCAACAAATCTGAAGATCTTATAGAAAATTTCTTGAGATTGATCTCTCATTTCTGGAGATAAAATACTGAAAATCTGGGGTATTTCTGGTTAAGACAATTACTGAAATCATTGCCTATAGATGACTGATCTATGTTCTGTGACAGCAATTTTTAATTACTGTCCTCCAAAATAAAACTTTAACTCAACAGTTTACTTACAAATTCAACCTGGTCTTATAGTCTATATGAGTGTATCCTACTAATTCGGGATACTATTCCAATATTTATCCCACACACCCTTGTTGAGGAATTCCAGAGGAAGGGGATGATTTTCAACCACTGACCCGCATTTTCAAGTTCCTCAATATGGGATTATGTGAATATAAAAAAGGAATAGCCCATTAGCCAATTTGAGAAGTTTCGGTCTGCTTCCGCCATTTTCTTGCAGTAAATTTCCCGCTCTGCACCGTTGATACACTAATGGAGCATACCGTTTAGGTTTTCAAAATGGCGGAACACTTAGACTATTACTTGGTAATGAGTACATAAACACTGTTGGGGATATTTTACAAATTAGAATTACCGTCAATGGCTAGTTTTATTTCATTTCAATCACTTCAATTTTAAAGTCTAGTGGTGGTTAAAATTTCAGAATCGTGAATCCGTGAGATTTGAAAATATTTCCGTGAGTCCATGAGATAATGCCTGAATTTGTGGGTCACACAGGAAATCCGTGAGAGTTGGCAGGTCTGACAATACCTTGCGGATGGTTGCCAGCCGATCCCCATCACCCAACTTTACTGCATCTTTCAGGCTTTTTAAAATGAAAAATAACCTAAGAAGACACAGTGAATACTCCTTGCTTCGGTCGGGTTGTTCATCTAATGTTTGATTGGACTGGGAATGTGGTTTGGACAGCAAGTACTCATCTACAAGCTTATCCAACACTGTGTCAAAGTACTGCTGGTAATCTGCATCATCAGGTGGGACATTCTTTTGTGGACTGTCATCAACTTCAGACATGCCAAAAAATAGAAATTTTCCCGGGCGACGACTACCAAGACCAGCATTCCTTGCGGGCATCAAGCCTTGTGACGTCATTATGCATAAGGTCTATTTCTTGATGAGGAAATTTATCAATCATGCAGCTAATCAGTTGCATGCATTTTATGCGAGACGCACTCTACTGAGTTGGTCACCAGCAGGGAACTCTGGTATTTGCCAACAGGTCAGTAGGATCAGTTGCAGGATGAACGTGGGATAGTGGTTGATCAGGTCTCGAAGCTGCTGTAGATGGTATTGAGGGAGAAGTTACAGGGTCAGGGGAGCTGGTGTCAACACTCCCACTTCTGATATCTGGAATTTTGCCAGCTTTCATGTAAATCTCATGGATCCAAGTCTCCAGTTGAACCATAACATCAACAATTTCAGAATATTTCTTTTCGTCCTTTAGGAGTACTGGGAATGGAACAACAACTGACTTTGATTTCATTTCTGCTTCATACTCTGAAGACAAGTCAATGTTACAGTTCTTCAGAAAGCTGAATGCTGGTATTTGCTCATACAAAATCTCTGCAGCTATCTTTTTGTAAGAATTGAATTGCTCAACAAGTTCAGTTTCTTCCAATTCAACCAGGTTGACTATGTCAGTCTCAGCTAATGATTGCTGGGGCTCTTCATCCTCTAAGTGGCTTGATGAAATACAATCAAATACCAGAGAAGTTGCAACAGCATGCACTCTTGTTCTGGTTATCTGATCGCATTTCATGTACCCTTTCTTCCCAGTCAATATTGTCAAGTACAAAAGAAAACGTTTTTCTGCCTTCACTTCTTCAGCCACTTTATCCAGGAAATGCATGCCAATATCGTCCTGAATTTTATATTTCTTGTTCTTTGTCAAACAAAATTAAGTTATAGTTATAATCATCGGAAGCAGCAATAACAAGCCACACAAGAAGCCACACATGGTAGACCAAACCCATTTTTTTTTGCATGGTCTTTAACATACACGGCATGATCAGTTTTTTCACCCTAATATAACAACTGTGATATAACTACTAGTACTGTGGTAAAACCTTAGCAAATCGATCGGAAAACAGAGTTTAATTACTTAGTATAAACGGCACTTAAAAAGCTCAAAATTTGAGATATTCTTACTTAGGCTTTGTGGCTTGCATCTCGACACAACAGCTCTGGATGTTTCCGTCATGAAATGACATTTCAAGACAAGGCAAGTACAATAAGATTAGAGCATCAGGGCATTATAAATCGATATTCAGACTTTCAAGTTTACTTAATTAAAAAGGTTATATTACATGAGGTATATATGACATTACATTTATATAGAAGAGAACATTATATAGCTATATTACAATTATATATTACTTAAATTTGAAATCAGGAAAAGAAGTAAATTGTTTAAATTCACTCTGGTGCGTACGGAAGCAATTATACAATAAGTATTTTAATAAAACAGTTAATGGAGCTAGCAGAACGGAAACTTAAAGGTAATTTGTTCCAGAGGCCTATAGCGGTTATAGAAAAAAGTTCTTCCTGCTTCTGTAGCTCTATTGTATTTCGGAGTTACTAAACTTAAATCAGCACTGCGAGTGTTCCTCGAATGTTGTTGGCTATTTAAATTTAATAGTCTGTTTAAGTACTCTGGAGTAGCATTAATAGTACGCTTGTAGATCATAATACATTTTCTGATATCTGACTCTACGTAAAAAGGTAACCAACCAAGATTATTAAATAGATTAATCGAAGAATGGCGAGGTTCAGCGTCAAGGATAATTCTGGCGCAGCTTTTTTGAAGTTTGAAAATTTTTGTGATATTGTTCTTACTACAGTTTGTCCAGGTTATACTACAATAGAGAAATAGAGGTTTGATCATAGCATTGTAGAAAAGAATACGTTCGTTTCGAGGCGGGTAGGATTTTATAGATTTCAATATTCCAATACGTTTCGATAGTTTCATTGCAATTATATCAACATGAGAGTGTTAAAGTTTAAATCTTCATCAATATTAAAGCCCAGTAATTTCACAGTGTGCTCTTGTTCTAATGAATCATCGTTCAATTTAATATTGAGAGTTTGATTTTCAGGAGTAAGATGATTGTATGCTATTTGGATTTAAAATAATATGCCAGGCCGTATTTTTTTTATTTAAACATATTTGGAATCATTTTCTCCAAGAGCTGAAGCTCATTGAGGGAGACCATGACGACCGTATTTGGATACTATTGTGCCCTTAATTTCAAAAAGTGAATTTAATCATTTGCATAAAATTAACTGTTTAAACTTGGTTATTATTTTAGGTTGCAGTTGCAAACTGTCAGTTAGATGGCATAGGCGAGAGTAACCAACAGTGGAGAGACAGTTGCTCACACATATTGGGGAAAACAGTAAGTTCATTCTACAGTTTGCTGGTGTTTTTTTTATCAAGCACAGCCACATTCGTTCTTAGGGTTGCGCTGTTTTCGAAAAAACAGAAAACCGATTCGATCCATTATATTGTAACTGGTGTTTGCCAGCCATGTTTAAATTTAATATGATGTTACTGCATCATTGTAATATTTTGCCCAAAATTAAAACCCTAAAAAAAACAACTGCACATTGCAATCGTGTTTGTAGCAACTGTAGTTTTCTTAAACAATGTTAAGGTGCTGTGAATGTGCTGGGACATTACAACAATCACACAACAACAATCATGCGACAATATATGCATAAGAAATCCATCTTGACAACAATATTTTTCATGCATCGCAACTGCTTGTTAATTTTAACGAACTAACGAAAGAACTTTAAAACCGAAAAACTGCACCAGCCCATTCCCCCACAACTTTGAGTGTTGATACTTTTTTAAATATGTTTTGTATGTTTACAGAAAAAAGGTCTTTCTGAGGTGTTTGTTGTCACTGCATTACCGGAAGATGGGTGCTTGTAGATGACTTTACAACCCATTCAGAAAATCATCTCCTCCTTTTTGGGACAAGAATGGGAATGGGTGGAAGAGACACTGGGAGAGAAGGTCAATGCTGAACAGTTGACAAAATATTCTGTAAGTTGATTTAGGTGTAGTTGTCATTCACTGTGTCAAGGTCAGTTTACATCCTGCTATGCCAATTGAAAATTATTATCATTATTACTTTCTTTAGAAATGAATTGTTTTTCACAGTCAATAAACACTAACATACATTTGCATAGCAGGACTAAATTGTTGGGCTGGCTATGCCACTGTGCATTTGGGATCTTGTTAGTCAAGCCCGCTGGCTAATTTCTCTGCAGATAATATTGGTAAGTGCTTGTATTCAATATGTTACAAGTTCTGTTGAAAAATAATTATATCTTTGTGTTATGTACAGTATCTTGTAATACAATAGTGGTTCTTGCTAATTATTTTGTAGAAGATTGCAATGCTGTATTGCAATACATGTCACGGAGCCTTGTGATGTTTTTAACTTGGGTTTTCACTCCCAGATCCTTCAAACTGGATCAAAGATCGTCCTGAGTAAGGTGTAAATAATTATCTTCACCGTTCTCAGCTTGAGTGCACAAATGAAGTTGCTTGCTATGACTCTCTCTGATTCCTTTTGACCAATAATCTGTCGCAGTCTTTTTGTATTGCCTTGGAATTTGCTGTTGATCACTTAAATGCCAGCCTTTCTTCAACTAACAAAGTATTTCTGGTTGCATCCCACTTATTACACTTTTGTAGATGAATTCACCTGCAGTCATTGTTGAGCTTTTCAACACCTATTTAGTAAAAAGAAATAACAAAGAATTTAATTGAAGAAGTTCAATCATCGTTTCATACCATCATTCCATAACAGTATGGTGACGAAAAATAAACAAGCATATAGGGCTGTATCCCCAATTCTCTCCAAGCAGAAACAGATAAAAGCATTTTTCATTTTTTTTAAACCCACCTTTTTAAACCCACCTTCTAATTTCCTTAGAATATCAGACATTTATATACTTTGCAATTCAAATTTTCACGCAATGTGCAACAACATGCATAGGATTAAATTGAGTATGGGTGAGCAAAAATGGATTGCAATCCCTATTGAACATCAATGTCCTTATCAATCCTGTACTACTTCAAGGCCTGGCCTCTGAGTTTCTTGTTGATACCAAACATATTGCATATATTTCGTTTAAAAAGTGTTGTAAATTTTGTATTATTTGCCTGTTTTGTTCCTGTTATGCTTCTCTTAATGGACTTGATGGACTCATAAATGTAAGATATTTTAATGTTAAAATGGAACAGGATAACCACATCAAATATTGCTTTGAAAATAGCTTGAAATATGGATGAAAATATGTACATCACAGAGCAATGTCGGCAAATTTCATCGGTGAAGTCGTTGATCATTGGCAGTGGAGAGAATCTACTTGTTTTTATGAAATTGACCTGGTTTAATAGGAATTATATTAGTTACACTCTTCGTAAAGTTAACCTACGAAATGTAACAACTTAGAGGTGGAAAATACAATACATTTTTTTGTTTGTGTTATGTGTAAGGTCCATTTCATAGTGAAGCGAACTTGGCAAGTGTCTAAAGTACTATCATATTCTGACTCAAATATATCAAAATTATTTTCCCCCTATGCATTCCCCTATAATGGCAGCACCATTTTGTGAGCATGCTTAGTATTGATGTCTTAAATTTCTGGCCATGTGTTATCCCCATCTTACCTAAAATAACACCTTATAATGCCTTTGAACACTTGTTTCCATAGCAACATAAAAATCAAAACTATGGTGGCACAATAATTACTTGACTTATTTGCCCTTGCTGTGATAGCTATTTTACCGTCCAGAACCTGCCTCGTACCCAGGCGTCTCTTTGTAAAAAAACAGTGATGCGCATATGACGAGTTTACATGAAGTATTGTAGTGGGGAGAGATGGCGAAGGGGTTGATGGGAAGAGTGCACTTGAACTGCAAGACGCCTGGCAGTTCTTGGTCTATTTCTTGCAAGAAAGTCGATTTCTTGCAAGTTGTGCTATTTTGTTGTCGTTTACGATTTTTTGCTACTTGTTTTTGTTGAATTGACTAATGTTAATATTCTTCTGTCATCCGGGCATGAATTCATGCTGTTATTCTTGGTATATATGACATATGCCTTATTTAAAGTCCATGGAAATTCCAATATTAACATGTCAACAACCGAAGCGTTGAAGAACTAGACTTGCAGGAACTAGATTTGTAAGCTATAACTATATAAAGGTACAGAGTATAAAATTGCACTGTTGTAATAAATATTTCAAACTTTATGGCTGTGAACTTTTATTTACTTAGGCTTTTGTTTACAGTATACATTTAATAGAAATTGCCATTGGCATTGTGATCGACTGATTGAGCTTTCAGCTAAAGAAGTTATTAATACAAAAGCAATTATATGACTTTCTAATCATTTCTCTGTTACTGTTTTATGCTAACCAACTGATAGCATTCTATTATTCTCCATGTAATACCGAATGACATATTCGAAATATTCGCACGGTTAACTTGCCATGTTATTTACTCATAATTTTTCGCGCATTTTGCATGTCATCGAACATCTACAAGTGTATTATTATTTGCCAATGGCGTTCAATTCAACTCTTCATCACAAAGTAAGGTTTTACACACAGAGTATATGAGGATATGGTAACTTTTTGTATTAAATTCCATGTTTTCCCGCCATGACAGTATATAAGAACTGCCAGGCGCCCCCCAGCACGCACCCTTCCCAACAGCCCATTCGTGCGTCGGCTGCCTACCGGAATACTTCATGTAAGCGCCTGGGTACGAGGCAGGTCCAGAACATTCAGGAGACATAGGGAAGTGTACTTTGACATACCGAGCAATACTTTTATCAAAGTATTGTTGCAACACTAAAACAGTTTGTTATGTGGTCAGGTTTTACAGAACGGTGCCAATTATGGTGAAGCCGGGAAATCTGGACAGGTCATCAGATTATGTGTGATGTCTTTGAAGGTCGCATTTGGAAGGATTTCATGACATTCAATGACTCTTCTTTTTTGGCATCCCCACAGAATTATGCATTTATGTTGAACGTTCACTGGATGCAACCAGTTGATCACATGAAGTATTCTGTTGGGGTTATGTATCTTGTGTTGATGAATCTGAAATGAATGCTTCAAGCAGGAAAACATTTTTCTTGTTGGAATTATTCCTGGTCCCAACAAACCCTCATCATGACATTAATTCCTTTTTAAGGCCTCTTGTTGATGAGTTTATTTAGTGTGGAAAATGGTGTCCAGCTTAGGCATTCTGGTTCACCACTGTTTCCTAAATTGTTCAGAGCTGCCTTGTTGTGCATATCCAGTCGTTGATGCAACAAATGTCCTGTCAAATTTTGGCTGTACACCTTACAAAATAGCAAAGTTGTTCTCTGGATTTACAGCAGAACACTGGAAAACTTGGGTAAAGGTATTTTCTCCTTTTGCTTTGTTTGGTCACCTCCCCAGTCATCATTACAAATGTTGGTTAAACTTTGTTAAAGCATGCAAACTGTTGTCCAAACCAATGATTTGAATATCAGATGTAGGTACTGTATGTTTTGATTGAGTTTTGTCATGATGTGGAGGAAACTATATGGCAAGGAACGAATAATGCCAAACATGCACATGCATACTACTCGTTTGGCTGACTGTATTCTTGATTACGGTACAGTGTACAGTTTTTGGCTGTTCAGTTTTAAATGATACAACAGGATATTATGGAATTATCACACAAACAACAGATTTTTAAAAAAGGCAAACCCCAAACTATCGACCTATATCGCTTTTACTGTGTTTGTCAAAAATATGCAAAAAGACTCAACTTTGTAAGACTTTACAATTTTTTATTAGAAATTGGTTTTTTCTATAAATTACAATCGGGATTCAGACCAGGGGATTCAACAGTCAATCAACTGTTGTACTTTGTACACCAGATTTATTGTGCTTTTGAAGCTGGTCAAGAGGTTAGGACTCATTTTCTAGATATTAGCAAGGCATTTGATAGAGTTTGGCATGCCAGATTACTTAAGAAACTGGAAGCACTGGGCTTATGTAATCCTCTCTTGCAGTGTTTTGAAAGTTATCTTGATTGCAATGTGTAGTTATTGAAGGGCAGACGTCAGATTGGGAAAGGGTCAGTTCCGGAGTCCCACAGCAGGCATCGTCGGAAAGGTGTGCGATCGCACGTGCACACCTTGGCACACGCCCCAGCTCATTGAGGTGTGCGATAAATCGCACGCCTCCATTAAGGTGCGTTGCAATGCATTTTTCTTAAATATGTCTACAATATACAAATTACAATTGTACATTTCATCGTATGAACAGTATAACAACACAAAGTATATAAAAAATTATATTACCATGGAGCTTTCATTGCCCATACTCCAATTTTCGAAATTCCAGCGGTTATTCTCATAATACGTTAGATTCTAAAGTTAGTTTAAGGCATTGACCAACGAACGTCAAGTTAATCAGGGATGAAAATACGATTGCACGCCTAGCAAGCCCGAGGAGTGCAATTCACTGCATGCCCGCCTTCTCTTTCCTTGGATGGCCTGCACAGGGTTCAGTTTTGGGACCACTTTTGTTTTTAATTTATATCAATGATATAACTGATGACCTTGAAACATGTCCCTTTATCTTTGCCGATGATACTACGCTCCTTGAGGTTGTTGACAATCCAATAAGTTCCGCTGAAGTTTTAAATCATGATTTAAACAAGATTTCAGAATGGTCTGATAAGTGGTTGGTGACGATGAATCCATCTAAAACTTGTTCTATGACATTTTCTATCAAAAAAGATAAGCTAAATCATCCAATTCTTTCAATGAGTGCTTGTCCCATTGAGGAAGTCATCGCTCACACTCATCTTGGTCTTAATCTCCAAAATAATATGTCTTGGAAAAGTCATATATTTTCAGTTTATGATAAGGCTTTTAAACGCTTAAATATGTTAAAATTGTTAAAGTTAATAGATCAACGCTTGCTTGTTTGTATTAAAGTTTGATATGGCCAATTATTGAGTACGGAGATATCATTTGGGATAATTGTACTTCTGGGAATAGCGATTTACTGGAAAGTATTCAATACGAGTCAGCAAAATTAGTTACTGTGGCAGGAACTAGTTCAAATCGTCTTCTCAGAGAACTTGCTTGGGAGGAGTTGAATATCAGAAGAAAAGTCTCTATCTTATCTCTTTTTTACAAAATAGTTCATAACTGTGCTCCTACCTACTTGATTGAACTTTTACCAAAGTTAATTAATGTTAGATCTTATATTCCTTTACGAACTGGTAATAATATTTGTCAATATCGATGTAGAACTGAAAAATTCAAAAAACTTTTTATCCTGCGATTTCTTTATGGAACTCTCTCGATATTGATATTAGAAATTCGACTTCACTTGTAAATTTTAAACACAAAGTAAATAAGTTGTATTGGCTGCTACGTTATGATAAATGGCTTGATTTTTCTCTTACGAGGAGGGCTTCAGTTCTGCATACGCGTTTACGATTAGGTTTCTGTGCACTAAATGATTACTTGTACAAAATTAATTGTTGTAATTCTCTGTTATGTAGTTGTGACCTGGAACGTGAACTGTTAAGCATTATTTCTTATTATGTCCCGTTTTGCTGCTCAATGTAACACTTTGCTTACTTCTGCTGCACAAGTTTGTGGCCAAGCATGGTTAGCGAGAAGTGACAATGTGAAACTTGATTATATGTTGAAAGGATCCAATCAATTAAGTTATGATGAAAATTGTTCACTGTTTGGTTTTTGTCCAACAATTTGTTCTGGATAGTTTCTGGTTTTGCTAGCCTTTGCTTTGTCACTATATGTATGTATGTATGTCTTATGTCTGGTTTTTGTTGTTGTCCTTATTAGTTCTATGTGTTATCTTTCCTAATTTGGGATTTTTTTCTTTCTCTTTTTTAAAAAAAAACTAATGTAGGCTATCCTTTGCAATACACGAGCCTCCTTGTTAAGCCTTGGCTTTTGGGACAAACATCCAAATAAAGTTTATATAAAAAAAAAAACCCAAAAAACCCAACAATCAGTAGTTGAATTGCAAATTATAGGAAAGTTTTTGCGAGACTGGAGTTTAAAGAGACTTTCAATTTCTGAATGAATTCCAACCACATTTTAAGGATATAACCAACCATTTGAGCCACACTGTTTGTAAATCAGACATGCTCATAATGGATAACAAACTGTGCCTTGACATTCTTAAACTTAGTGAACGCAGAGTTCACATGACAAATGAATTGTGGTTTTCTATGAATGGTTATGATTTCGGGTCCCTCATGTAATTGATTATTTTGATAATGATCAGCTTCATTACATCTATGAAGTGTATAAGATCTTTCTTCCAGATATACCATTATCAAGTATACCTCTCATGTATGACAAGTACGCTTCAGTGACGTTTGCGGGGGGGGGGGGGGAT